ACATATATTGCTACCATAGTAAATCTGTATAAATACACATGTATGCTCGGCAACGATGTTTTGTATGTATTCTATATTTATATGTATATGTATTATGTTGTTGAAATACTTTTGTACCTCTGATTCCGCTGATAGCAGCCTGAGCGTAAATACAGTTCCGTTCAATTCAGATAACACATAACCACCCTACTGCATAACCCTGCACGTGCACTGATCACGTTGTCATGTGGTGTTACTTGTCTCATATGCATGGAGGGGCGGTCTGGTAGCCTAGTGGTTAAAGCGTTCGATCGTCACGCCGAAGACCCGGGTTCGATTCCCGACATGGGTACAATGTGTGAAGTCCATTTCTGGTGTCCCCCGCCGTGATATTGCTGGAATATTGCTAAAAGCGGCGTAAAACCATACTCAGTCAGTCAGTCATATGCATGTAACTGCTGTTGCGCTTTGAACGACTCAGACATGTTTATGGCGCAGGTAGTAGTGTCATTTGTCACAACTTTGGATCATTTTCATCGTATTATTCTCAAGGCATCTGCAGATTGCAAATCAGCCCCGGTTTGACTTGGAGATTTGAAAGTATCGTTACAACGCAATTATGCAATATCACTCCATTGCTATACCGTCATATCGCATTTTCGCAATATATTGTTATATCGTCGTATTGCATGACCATATCACATTACACCTTTTATGCTTCATCGCCATGTCATGTCGCGTTATGGTCATGGCTTGTCGTTCTATCGTTATGACGTGTTGTACTGTCGCCATATCGTGTCGTGAGGTCATAATGTCGTGTCGTTCATTCACCGCATCGTCTCATTCTAGCGCTTTTTCATTGTGTGTTTACTCTGTGTCGTTTGTGTCTGTATCGCAATATCACTGTATCGTATCGGAACATCGTTTCAGTTCGAGTATTGCTTTGTTGCGCGATGTCATGTTGATATGTCGGGGCGATATGGCGATGGTCTCCCTCAGAAAACATTGTATCTTTTTATAACCTGTTGTAGAAAATGCAGAGAACTACACCATGAATATCTCTGTGACACATCTTACCATCGACAACATATGTTTTATGTGCACCAACCCTCCCTTTCAAAGGCTAGTGATGATAATACACCAACATGAACTAGCTGGACCTTGGCTGACTGCGTCATCAAAACATTCACTCACTCACAGTGATTCAATAGCACTTCCTCGTAGTTATCTACGCATTCATGGATTTGTAAATATTCTTATCTAGTCTATTCTGACAACACAAACGAGACGTATGTAAAACAAGGATGTAAAATATTGGTGTATATACAGACCGTGTCACTGGTGTGATACTCACACCCGCTTGGGTCGACCTGTCACATGTGGATTTGATTTTCTATCCAGCCATCTCGGGAGACATCTGGGATCTTCATCCCTTAGTTTCATGGGAACCAGAAACAGCCGAGTGAGAGGATGATTTACAAGTGTTTCAGTTTGGTTGTTCTTTTGATGGTGCTGCAGAGTGGCAAGGGTAAGTAACTATGTTGTGGGTTTATTGCCCCAGTATATGTGATTAAACACTGTTGTCACCAAAGTATATCTCTGTTTGGAAATCATCTATTAACTGGTATTATTACAAAGAATAAAGATGTATGGTTTTATCGGCTTTTCAATCAAGATCGAATTTCACGCGTAAGGAAAACTATAAATGTCACACGGTCGGGGATGTCCAAAAACATATGTTGGGGATTGTTTTTCAATAGAATGGAGAATTGCCCATGCAGAATTTCGAACACAAAATTGAATCCGCATAATTTGTTGGGATCACAATTACTTAATTATTTGTGATTTATATCTGATAACATGATCCAAGTCTTGTTAAGATTAGATATTGTATTACCTCGTATGAGGTCAAGACTACATGAACCATAGGTGAAATGAAACTCGCAAACCTGCAGTACATCCATTTATGTTCATGAAAACAAAACAACTTTCAAACAGCCATAAATAATTATATCGTACGCGGTACAAAAGGTGATCAGGTATTTAGCACAGACTAGATATGTTTAAGATCTATGCACTTTTCGACTTTTTTGCATATGTTTCGGAATTTTATTTAGGGGACAAAAACATTTTGTGTTAAAAGTCGAAAAACAAATATAACGTTAAGGAAAACATACGAGTAACGGGCATGTTCTCTATCTAAAAACACACATCACCAGTTTCTAAAACATAAAATGAATATTTTATTTTCAAAACGTTCATGTTCTATACAAACTTTTAAATAAAAATACCACTTCAGAGCGCACGTGACACGTGTTGCCGTAAGCGAAGTCTACTATCAAAAGGTCCTCAAATCATACTTTCCTGGTTCGAGTCTTACTGGCGACACATGTTTTCCTACAAATATTGAAATCATTGAATTGAGTGTCAAATTGAAAACCAGCAAAGAATTCACTTAAATCTATGTTTACATTAATGGAGATAGTATAGAACCCTATGATTGTTGGGCGATCCATTCATGGAAAATAATGGATCTCCGAAGACGTAGACGTCACAGATGTGTCACCCCAAATGTGTCATCACTGATTTTCAATGATCCATTCCTATAACTACAGTCAGTATTTTTACGTCCAATGGAATCTGTTTCTGCAGATAATGGAGACTGATTATTCTCTGGCATTGACGTTTTACATTATATAATGTATGGCAAATCATGGGCGAAGACATGTAGCCATGAAAAGACTTGTTGATAGTTGTTGGTGTTTTTCGAAAACATTGGTCAAGTGACTTCATATATTTTATTACTCGACTCATAATTGCTCATTATATTTGGGAATTGGACAACGCTTAACTTACAACAACTCACTTTACATGTTCCCTGTGGATATTTGGTCCACAGTACCACATGCTAGTATAGTTGGAATGGTGTGGTCAGTCTCGGTGACTTTGCCCCGACGACTTGAGACGCTGACAAAGCTATCAACAATTGCTTGCCTGATCCTGAATCGATCATTTATATAGCTAATATAGCTGCAGAAATGTTGTTTGTTTGTTTGTTGTGAAACCCAATTTGGTCACGACGACATGCACTAAACCAAGTCACCGAACCTGACCACCCGATCCATACAGTCGCCTCCATAGGTTGCAGTGGACCTACATACTCTTGACCGGAATCCCAAAAGAAATTTTAAAATACTATAGATGGTAATATAATATAGTTCTCACCATGAAGTGACTGATTTCCACGGGACACCCACGTGGTAAAACATGACGCAAACCACAACAATAACTGTGTTCACAAAAGATATACCTATCTATAGTGCAATATCATCATTATTCCTTTCAAAGGAGGGGTGGTCGGGTAGCCTAGTTGTTAAAGCATTCGCTCGTCACGCCGAAGACCCGGGTTCGATTCCCGACATGGGTACAATGTGTGAAGCCCATTTCTGGTGTTCCCCATCCGTAATATTCCTGGAATATTGCTAAAAGCGGCGTAAAACCAAACTCACTCTCTCACTCACTCCTTTCAAAAGTGTGCGTGTGCATCTGTGGTGTGACATAATGACCGTCTGGCCTAGATATTGTCTGGGGTTTGTGTTGGGCATACTTAATTCAAAGAACGGCTACTCGCTACCCTATTGGGTCACGACGACATGCACTTAACCAAGTCACCGAACCTGACCACCCGATCCATACAGTCGCCTCCATAGGTTGCAGTGGACCTACATACTCTTAACCGGTATCCCCAAGGAAATTTTAAGATACTATAGATGATAATATAGTATAGTTGTTACCATACAATGGCTGAATTCACGGGAAACCCACGTGGTAAAACATGGTGTGAACCACAACAATAATTGTGTTCACAAAAGATATACCTATCTACAGGGCAATATCATTATTCCTTTCAATAGTGTATGTGTGCGCCTGCTGGTGTGAAACAGAGTAGGCCTGACCTAGATATTCCTCTGGGGTTTGTCTGGAGCATGTTTGTTTCAAACAACGGGTACCCGGAACTGACATTACACTGATCTCTATGATGGTCCAGTCGTCTGAAGCTCCATATTTCGTTGTGCAGAGTTGCGTCCCTTACGCGCGCCAGATGCTTATGATTGTTTATGATCCCAGAGTCACCCAAGCTATCTAAGAAATATAATATGTCCAGGCACTATCTGTTGTTTATAAGTCGATGCTTTTAAGGCCACGAATTAAAATAGTAACATTAAGAGGGCGATGCCAAAACATATGTTTTTCGATTTTATTATTGTCTTGTCCTTTATTGATTATATTAAACTTTACACTTTTTAACATTATACATCCACAGAGAGGGTCGTCTAGCTGATAATAATGAATGTAACAACTGTTAGCTATTACGTTTAGTTAACTAACTATTTCATATTTTATTTATCAAAACAGATGCAAGATAATAATTTACGCAACACCCCAATCCGTCAAAGATTTACCAACTCATTTTTTTCACATGAACAAAACGTAAAGGGACCAAGATACACGCCAAAACGCAAAAGTTATAAGTGATCAATTACACCTAGTCACTGACAAATTTCGAGAGTTCCCCTCGATTACTGCTGAAAATATAGAGATTAAAATTAAAGTGTTCGTGACGTCCTGGGTAATACATACAGCCCTGAAGTGTGAACGTAGTACCCCTTGGAAATTACCAGGAACATTGAGTTTGTCTGCAGTTGCGACGGAAGGTTCGAATGCAGCCGGCTGATCGACGACCGTTGTAGAGAAGAGCTACGTTCATGACGGAGTTATTTGAATGGCAGTGACCTTGTTGAATGTTACGACACTATTAGGATTCCTTTTGTCCAGAGACAGACATTATTCAAACTGTATCAATTTTGACTCTGCAATAGTCAGGTCACAGTTACATGTATTCGAGTTCTGCACGTGGTTCCGTGAAGGATGTGGTTCACGGATACAGCACATCCGTCGTCCTTTGAACTCGCCGCCTACATAATATATGGATGTTATATCGTGTTGAATTGACTTTACAGGTGAAGACTACTTGGTGGCTCTGGCATATACAGGCAAAGACTCGTACATCAGGTACACAGCCGGAGAAACCGGGGGCTTGGTGGAGATACAGTATCCACACTTCGCCAAAAGAACATCCAGTGTGTTGGGTCCCTTCCAGGGTAGTTGGCACCGTGTAAGCGATAAGATGAAAATCACTAGTGTTGTAGAAAATACAGCTGTCGTTGTAAGTGCAAGTGACGAAAATGTAAACATTGTGGTAGCCGCTGACGGTGTATTCTCTCCTCTTCCTATATCTGCCCTTGGGACCAAGTACATTGTTCCTTCCAGTCTTGCACCTAACAGTAGTTATCTATCCTTGCTGCTGATAGCTACACACAACATGAGCACCAATGTTGATATATTCTTTCGAATGAAAAAAGGAAGTGTTTACGTTGTCAATTACGAATACAGTGACGGCGATACTCTGTCCCTCAAACTTGATCCATATCAAACGTTGATGGTGTCAACCCCACATGATCTGAATGGAACGGTCATTAACAGTGAACACAGTGTGGCCGTCTACAGTGGTATAGACTATGCCTCGAAGTACACAGTGTATGACCAACTACCGCCTGTCAAGCACCACGGACAGGAGTATGTTGTTGCTGTAGATGACACCAAGCTGGAGCTGCAGATCATCAGTGAAAACAACCACGTGCAGATCACGTTCAGTACCGGGGCCACAGTCTCCACTGGTGAGCGTCGTCTCTACAACCGCTCGCTTGAACAGGGAGAGAGTCTTCACTTCACCACCACACGCCCGGTACTGGTAACACTCAGTAGAGCAGATGGTTACAGCAGTGTCTTCACAACTGTACCACCTGTACACTCTTACGTCACACACAGGGATGTCTTACTTCAAGGTGACAATCTAAATACAACATTAAAGATTATAACTGAGAAGACAGCGAGAGTGTTGATTAAAAAGAAACAACTCAATGATGTTCTAACATGGATCGATGTACCGGGCAGGAGATACAAAGTTGGCACAGTGACACATCCACCACAACAATATACAAGTTTTACGTTCATTTCTAGCGACATCCCCTTCACAGTTCTGTCCTTTTATAACGGATCGGTCCATAACATCGGCTACAAATTGTCTGCAGAGGAGGCAGTACACTATACAGGTATGTGGCACAGTTTCCTTCATGGTAATGGCATCATTATTATCAACGTACAACATTAATAAAGGTTTATGGCCTGTGTAGTTAGTACACTTGTGTAATGTTTTCATGATGTTGTTTCAGGCGCAGTGTCATTTAGCTCACAAGCCATGATATTACTTACCTAATTTTAAAAGCGAAGTTAAATACTCACCTCATTAAAAATGGTTACCAAACACTATAGTTTACTTATGATAAATTTCTTTCTTTTTAGGAAACATGATGTTAATGGATGGGCTCTCTTTTACTGTTGCCTATTGATATGCTTTACTTATCGTTGTATTAATCAAAGTCACTTATTCTAATGTATAGACACATGTGCCAGAGAAGATACTGATATTAATTCGTCTTTAATTCACTAATCATAAGGTTATCAACTACATAAACATTAACATGCCTTTGTAGGTGAAAGTTACTTGATGGCAGTGGTGGGATACCATTCCTACTATTCCGACCTACGCCCGCGGATACTCGCCACTGCTGGGGAGACAGGAGGCCAGTGGCAGGTACAGGATCCTCTCGCCGGGCGGGTCTGGTCTCGACGCGTCAATCCTTACAACACAGACTACTTTTATCCTAATACCACAACAACCAAGGTAGTGCTTGTGCATGTGAGAGATGATGCTATTCAGATCAGTGGCGTAATGACCACTTTCATATCATTCTCTCCCCTTCCTGTGTCAGCGCTAGGCACCAAGTACATCATTTCTTCCTGTCTTCCCCCTACTCACATGCATACGCATTCAACGTACATAGCAGTCTTAGTGTTAGCCACACACAGCAAGAAGGCGGATGTTGACATCATCTTCAGACTGGAGGGTGACGTCACCTATGACGGCAGAACGTACAGCGACGGGGACACTCTCAGTGTCAGATTAGATAAGTATCAGAATGTCTCCATAAACAGTTCATCTGATATGACCAGAACCATCGTTAATGCCACGGAAACAATAGCTGTCTATAGTGGAACATACGATATGAACTATAAAGCCTTCTCTACCTTCGAGCAGTTACTGCCTGTGAAACATTATGGAAGTGAGTATATTCTCGCTATCCAAGATTCTTCTGGCTATCGAATTCAGAGGTTTACCTTCCCATACATACTTCAAGTTGTTACAGACCACAGTGATACGAGCATCATGTTAAATAACGGTTCTACCGTCTCTATGGGTAAAGATGGACTGTACCGTGAACAATATGGGCGATTTGAAACACTTTACTTCAACACCACAAGGCCAGCCATGGCCACATTGTGTACTGTTGGGACGTATAATAATTTAGTTACTGATGGGTTAATTGTAGTACCACCAGTATCCCTCTACTCTAAACAAGCAACCCTAATAGCCCAAGGTACCAGGACAATATTGACAGATAAAGACAACAACAATGTACACGTTCACGAAATCCCAAGCACTCTCTCTACAGTTTTCAGTCCTCCGATAAAGTGGAAGGAAGTTCCAGGTACAAGATACAAAGTGGGAACATTACAAAGTGGTCAACACATAACAACAATTCGTTCTAATTCTTCCTTTGCTGTCCTTGGATACGATAGATTTGCCATATACAAAGGAGGATACAACTTTAGGACATATCTTGATGCAGGTAAGTCTTTTGATGTACATTTATACGTAAAACTTAAAAGCCTACATTCCTTCGATGCATTATTATTTTTATGTAGGTAGGTCCTTCAGTTCTTCACTTGGAGTCAACCTTCTCCTCAAGACATGTCCATGTACCTATAAACATATAAGGGCAATTCTTTGAAGCATGAATCAACAGAATTCGCATGGCCATTTGAGAACAAAGCCTGACGTTGTAGGTCCAATGCCATGTGGTGATTTCGAATCGGAATGGTTTTCAAGTACTTTATGTGCCGATGCTCATAATATTAATCACTGGCTTGTTTGATTCAGACCTTATTATGTCTAAGCCACCGTAATACACCTGGAATATTGTTGTGTGCGTTGAACAATAAACACAGTATGTGCCGACTAAACTTGGGTCGGGTAGTCGATATCTGTGACTTTGCTCATTGTTATTGTGTCCTGAATACGGAGATCGTTGGTCGTTCTTTCATTCACTGGTTTGCCTATTCTAAGCATAATTATTTACAGGCTAACATTTTGCTATTGCAGCGTTAAGCAACTTATACTCACTCTCTTATTGCCGTGTAACTGCGGAATTGTGTTAAAGGAGTTTAGATAAAAATAGTAGTTGGTCCCACAAACGCAACGTTGTCAATAATGTGTAACAATCATTGTGCCTATTATTCGTATAAACGAAGCCAACTCACCCCTGTGTAATATATACTGCTCGGTATACTGCCATGCTTGTGTCAGTTATCCAGACACTTCATCCATTGAATTGCTTTGCTGACTCGTTCCAGAAACCTCCACGCCAGATGGAATTAATGAAAACACGTTAAATACAGGTGATTCTTTTCAAGGTAAATGTGTAATGTTATTCCTTTTCCCGTCCGTCGTCCATCGTCTGCCATGTTTATCAACATTCTTCTTTGCCATATATGTGTCGTGGTACAGCTTATTGCAACGTTAAACATATTTTACTCTCTCATTACCGTGTTACTGCGGAAGTGTGTCAAAGGAGTTAAGAAAAAAATAGTAGGTCTCCACTAACAACTTTCTCAATAATGCGTAACAGTCATTGTGTCTACTATTAATGTTCAAAGTGGCCTCAAACCAAATCAGCTCATTCTTCTGTATGGTTTAACATATGTACTGCCTGGTTTACTTCCATGCTTGTGTCAGTTATCTAGACAATACATACATTGAATACCTTCACTGATTTATTCCAGCGACCACTACGCCAGATGGAATTGGAAACAAGTTAAATACAGAAGGTTCCTTCCAAGGTGAATGTTAAATGTTATTCCTTTTCTCGTCCGTCGTCCACCATCTGCCATGTGTATCTACATTCTACTTTGCCTTGAAACTTATATTTATAAACATATATTGATGTATTCGTTTCGCGGACCTGTTTTCGAGCTGATCATAAAAGTCACCACCATTATATCGTACAACTTAAACACTGATTTGCGATTGTTTTGTGAAACAAGGCCAAGGATTGATTGTAGCTGTCACAGATACACTGGAATACCAGACTTTTATTAAGCAGACAGGGCATAATAACAAAGTTGTTAGTGATATTCTTTCACTATCTTCTTCCCCCATGCTCAGCGGCATTTATACTGTTGATTTGTTATCATGTCTGAAACATGAAGGACGTTATTTCTGTGTCAAAAACAACAACGTTAATGAGAGTTAAGAAAACGATAGTTGCCTTGCCAACGACATCATCATTCAGTGATGTGATGAGTGCAAAACGCCATGTGTCTATATCTTGACATGTGGCCTTTTATGAAATATTACAGTCCTTTTGATGTGTAAAAACATTTAATTATTCTAAAAATTATATTCATTTCAGCAGACAATCCGAACAACGCAGCACTGATCGTAGGGATAATCTGTGGGTCTGTTATTGTGGCTCTCCTGGTCGCATTTATGTCATATGTATTCTACATGTAAGTGTTTATATTGTTAAGTGTTTATATGTTTAAAAATGGTAGTTCACTGAGATTTGTTTCTCAAACGTGATCGTTCTTTACTCTTAAATAAGTCGATAACCACAACATTCAAATTGTCGAAACGTATTACAATCTCTTGAACAAGGGACATAGTTCCATGGATATACAACTTCTTTATTAAAATGAAAGCGACGTTTTGGTGTTGATACTTACACCGGAACGTCGCTTCCATTGTAATAAAGAAGTTGTATATCCATAGAACTGTATCCCTTGTTCATTATGCGAACTTTGAAAAGCCACTTAAAGACGTTATCTCTTAAACATGTTACTTAGCAATACCCTCTAAAAAGTACGGGATACTTGGAAATAACTCAGAATTTTCAAACTTGTATGAGATATTAGTTTCGAGTAATAATTGCATGATAATAATAACGAATTGGGAACACATTACAAGCGGTAGTGAAGTATGAGAGTTGATTTTCTTTGATCAGTAGTGCGTACTACCGCCACGTTTGTCAAACATTCATTCAATCGACGAGGCATACCGCGTATGAGACTCCCAATGGTGATTTGAGGGAGTGTGTCTCACTCCACTTGCAGCGCCTGGCCAAGTTCAGCCAACGTGGTCGGCGGCCTATGACGTTGACGCTTACGTCTCCCTATCATGTCCCAGACGTGTTCAATGGGGATAAGGTCTTGGCTGAGTATGTTGTCCTGATTGTACTCTCCTGTGACCCTTCCTTACACAACATGGAGTGGAGTTCGTTCAGTCATAGTGATGCCACCCCCCACAAAATACGACCCACCGCCAAGTCTGTCATGATGTCTCAGGTTGACATTGGCTTAACGTTCATTTCGACGTCGCCAGACACGACCACACCTATCAAGGACGTGCAAGGTGAATCGGGACTCATCTGAAAACATGACACGTGACCAGCGACGATTACCCCATTTTTGACGTTGTCTACACCATTGACCTCTGTTGGCTTGATGACGATTTGTAAGTGGCGGCACAACACGTGGCTGTTGAGCATAGATGATGAGCTGCTTGTAGGTGATTTCTAATCGTTTGACCCGTACTCCAGTTGCCTGAAGTTTGCAGCAGCTTGATTCGCCGTTTGAGCTCGATTTTGTAGAGCCTGGTTTCGGATCAGTCGATCCTGTACTCGTGTCGTTGACCTCCTGGAACGCCCTGAAAGAGGACGATTGTCACACTTGCATAAGATATTTGTCGTCAACACCTGTTCTTTTACTGGTATTAACATTTATATTTCATGATCCCCTCCATTTTTTAAGAGTATAATTTATGAAAGCGATCGTCTATAACCACCATTCAGCAATTGGAAGACTAAGACTCCAAACCAAATCAAGTAAGTGTTGCTATGCATGCAGCCAGTAGCAGCATATATGACTGCTGCAAGTAAATAAATGAGAACTAGCGACTGAGAGCATGAGGAATCAGCCACGTCACGTATTGTGACAATCTGAACCGAATTTATGTCGGCTGTAATGACAAACAGGGTGTCATTTGGACGTATTCTGTGCCTCTATTCAAGATCACATGTACAGAAACAGCTCGCGATATCAGCGGTCTTATCCTGTCCAACCGGTAACATACATAGTTAATTGTGGAGTACACACAGACAGGATGAGATATGTGTGATACTATAGCGGTATCAGTCGTAGGGTATGTGCGTGATGAAACCCAATAATATTTTCTTGAACAAGGAAATTGATAGGATATAGAAACTATTTCATGCCCTTTTAAATATCCTTTATCTAGCAGTAACAGATTTTAGATATTTCTGGTATCACCAGCATATGATTATTTCAGTTTTCTTGATATGAGTGTCTTAGTTACTATAAGTCATGTAAATATAGAAATCCTTTCTCAGTTACAGTTCTAGCTACCTGATTTTATTATTTGTTCAACACCCCTCAAACATAAACCATAACAAACAACCATTTAATTGAGCAAGCTTCTGCGTGATTAGTATTATGATAGATTATTTCTCTCTCTAATACACCCTTTGCACTGCCTAACACTGTAGTCCAATCCCTTCCCCTTTCAAGTCCCTTTGTCTTTCTGGTCAGATAAGGTACTCAGCTAATCTCTACACTGGACACCTCAGAAGTTCTGGGGTCACTACATATATATTCTTTGAAGGATACAAGCGTATCTTATTCTGTTTATCATTGTGAATCTGAAGAAAATGATTTAATACTTTAATACTCGCTGTTTGGATGTATCTTACGTTGGATTAACTACAGTAATTTTCGTGTCTGTTTCTCTTTTTAAGCCGCAGGAAGATAATGCCACTTAAGAGAGTTGAAGCACAAGGCGCCGATGCTCCCTCGACCTCCAATATCTACACGGTGCCTGACAGTGTCGCTGAAGGAGCAGCAGATGAGGCCACCTACACGGAGATTACAACTAACTGCACACCTGTCGACGTTAGCATCGCTGACAGTTCTGCCATATATGTCAATTTCAAAGGTGGAAAATAACTCGAAACAATGCAAACATGAGTTAGAACTGTTATCGAAACCGATTCTGAGACATTTAGCTGTCTTATTTTAAATACAGTAAACTACGGTTATAACGAACTCGAAGGGACCACTAACTTTAGTTTGTTATAACCGTAGTTCGTTATAAGCATATATACAGCATAACTATAGCAAATAGTCGGGACCAAAAAATCATTTTGTTATATCCATCAGTTCGTTATAAGCGTGTTCGTTATAAACGTACTTTACTGTAGATACATTCTCTCAAACACACTGAGTAAACATTCATGTTATAAACATTAAATGATTTGTGTACATATGTTTTATTTTCATAAGAATATATCTTAAGTCGTATTCATGTGACTTTTCAGAGTTTATTTAACAATTAGGACATGTATCAGAAGGCACAAAGAGCTTTGATTGTATTACATTTAATTTCAAAAGGTAAGTACTGTCGTATTAAGGTCATGAAATTGCATCTGCTACAGTTTGAGTAAAGTACAAGGCATCAACCAGGACATGATTCACGTACATAGCTGCCCCCAACAACTGAAATTTATAAAACACAGAATGAAACATTTCAATGTGTTCTATGTCTTCAGAAACAATCTCTGACCGTGCCATTTAACTAATATGTTTTTAGAACTGTCAGATGAGGGAGTATTTATTGAACAGGTTCCAGAACCAACTTGGTTTTATTTATATTATCATGTAAAGCAGAATCATTCACAGTACCGCTACATGTTGATTGTGGAAATAGTTTCTTCGTTTCTATTCCTCTACTCATTGGAAAAGGAAGAATGAATTTTGGAAACAACATTGTGAAGCCTCATTTTAGTTTTTAGTGTACCATTTCACTCACTGGCCTACAATTGTGAATAAGGGGATCGATTTGACAGCAGTAGAGATTTTAATACTTTTTATTTTTGGTGTAGCAACTTTGTATTATATTCGTAGTGTTTTTTTGTAATCATTTTATTGTTGTTTTGGGTTTGTTTTTGGGGGGATTTTTTTCGGGCGAGAGGGGTTACATGTTTGTACATTTTCTTGATAACATACATGTAGATGCAGTTTAAGAACACACTGTTAATTGTTTCGTCATTGTGGAAGTAGTAAACTGGATGCTTTTCACGGATGGTTTGGTTAAAGGTTCGTTCGCAAGTGTAAGCATTCATCCAAGTTAGTTTCAAATGAATGTTTAATGTGCTGAGCATATATTCACTGCGATACAATGACTTAATATTTATATTTATTACATATGTTTTTTTACGTTAATACATTTTCAGCTAGTATTTGTAAACATATATTAAGAGGTTATGTAAAATGCTCAACATAAGACTTTTCAGCATGCTCAAACCGACTTGATTACAAAACAGTTACATATGGCGGCACTCGAGGAAGTCTTTGTGAACTGGTCCCATCTGCATTTGTTTTTTTTTAGTGTAGATATTGCATTGTTGCACGGATCGTTCAAGATAAGGCTGTCTGGTGTTAAGGGGCATGCATAAAGCATCTCTCTTTAAAAACACATTTCAGTTTGTTGTGGTGAGTATCCCTGACATCCATTTCAAGGAAAAGCACCGTATTGGGGTAACATTGATGTTATTATAAAGTTAGGTTTAATTCCAGAGTTTGCAGAGTTCTATACCAAAGCTGTGTGACTATATTGATGTAAGCAGGACAGAGCAACACTATAGCAGCCTCAAGCTAGTTTTTATTTTTCAGTTTTCTTAAATTTGTTACTTGAGTTACTCATGGAGATTTGTTTGACAGTGATTCAATTATATCACATACGGTGATGTGGGAGGATAGCTTTAACTGACGGTTGAAGAGGTTTAATTCTTGACTCTTTTTGTGTAGCAACCTTTTATTGTATTTGACCATGTTGCTTATGATTTCATTGATTATTGTTTACTGACACGATTCAACATTTAAAATACATTCTAATGATTAACTCTTGTTACATTTATAGTTTTGTCATTTATTCATATATGCATATCTTTATTTATAGCAAAAATGGATAGAATTATCACTAAACCGCCCGCACGTTATCAGAAATAAGCGGGCCACTGTAACTTGATAATGCCCTCATATTGCTTGACGACGGGCCATTATCAAGCCCGTTGTTCGGTGACGCCATAGGGTCAGAAAATGACGTCACGTATTATAGTGACGTCATCTTGTTTGTTCAATGACGTTTCCATATTTGTAAAATGTGGTCAGTGACATTCGTGTTGATTGCAGTAAATGTTTCAAAACCGATGTTGTTGTTGTTTCTTTTTATTTGATAACAAATTTCATCCATTTTAGCTATAATAACGGTAACGCTATTTTTCAGGGCATTATCATTTGCAGAAGCCCTCGGTCTTTTTAAGTTAATGGAAAACCTCGGGCTTCTGCAAATGATAATGCCCTGAAAAAGAGCGTTACCCTTATAATATTATATATTGGTATCTCTTTAATTTGTGAGAGGTTATTTCTAAATTTAAAGACCACCCCTTAAAAAACATTAAATCACCTTGATGCTTTTGAGAGATGATTTGGTTTAAGATCTGATGTCTTAATAGTTCACATGTATTTAATGTCATGAAGCTTTGTAATGTTATGTTTCGTTTGGAGATTTCTGATTGTTGTCATTGATTGTCATTCCCATTTTAATTTGCTAGAACCAAACATGTTTCTTAAATGTTTTATTTTCTTAGAATTAGCTTATTTCCATCTTTCAATACACTTCTTTGCAAAGTATGAAGCGACGTTCATCATTTGTAACAGCTGCGGGGTACTGCAGACTCCTTACTTGTCTTGACTTGTACCATCATATATGCCTGTGTTTGTTCAGGTGAATAATTGACTCCCACTGCGTGTATTTGTGACAAGTGCGGCAGGTGGAGCGTGGCATCATCACTATTTGATAATGATTTAGAAACACATGCTCATCATATAGACGGAAGCGTACAAGGTATCTTTCTTTCAGAAGAGATTTCTTGTGATTAAGACAAAGGGCTTTGTCGCCTGTATATTATTGTTATGTTAGGTGTGATGTTATTACTTGAGGAAGGAAACTTAATCTGGTGGAAATCAAATTGGATCAATGCATGCAATAACAAGACCAAAACCGAACTCTCGCTGAGTGAGAGTGAACCCAGCAGAAGGGAGGTCAGCAGCCGTGTCATTGAGTGAGAGTGCATCCAGCAGAAGGGAGGTCAGCAGCCGTGTCATTGAGTGAGAGTGAACCAAGAAGGGAGGTCAGCAGCCGTGTCACTGAGTGAGAGTGTACCCAGCAGAAGGGAGGTCAGCAGCCGTGTCACTGTGTGAGTGTGTACCCAGCAGAAGGGAGGTCAGCAGCCGTGTCACTGAGTGAGAGTGCACCCAGCGGAGAGGAGGTCAGCAGCCGTGTCACTGAGTGAGAATGCACCCAGAATAGGGGAGGTAAGCAACCGTTTTGACTGAGTGAGTTGTACCCTGCAGAATGGTGGTCAGCATTCGTTTAGAAGCTTACTTGTGTAATGTGTGGTCGAAGTTAGAGAGTTTACGTGCGCCTCAGGCACTGTTTCACAATGTATTTTCTTGGTAGTGGGACTCAACATATGCTCCTTGTTGTCCGATACGTTAAAATTTGACTCAGAAACCACTGGAAGAATAAGGCTTAAACATCACGTGTTCCAATCAGTTATGATACATGAACGTTCGTACCTATTTTTAATTACCTGGCCATTTATGCAGAAAATGTAACATGAAATGGGAGCAATAAATATGTTCTGTTTTACTTGTTCATTTTTTTAATATCTTAACTTTGTTTTGACCATGATTTTGGTTCTGTTAACTCCATCCCCTGACAGACGGATGGAGTTGGACTTTCGCATGTATGTTTCTCCATTTGATTATTATTAATGTAGAAAATATTTGAATATCAAAGCTTTTGTTGTGTGTCTGTCTTTGTTCATCCTTAAACAGTGCCGTGGCACTACTTGCTTTAAACCCTGATGCCGAGGACCAGGCAGGGTAACAACAAATACCTTCTTTCAAGGTCCTTTGGTATGACACGGCCGTGACCTGGTCACCGACATTCAGCTCTCCGGGCAGGCGCTTTGTCTACCAGACCACGGAAATTAAAAAGGGGTGTTTCTGCTTCTTAGAGTTGTTCTGAGTATGAAATAACATTTTGAATTTTAATCTAACAAAATGGCACAAATGAATATTTATTTCAATCGCGAAGATGCCTAGACAGATACAATTGTTTCGTGAGTCTTTAACTATTTGACACTATGACAGACCACTTGCGTTGTGTTAAGTGAGTGAGTGAGTGAGTGAGTGAATATGGTTTTACGCCGCTTTTAGCAAGATTCCAGCAATATCACGGCGGGGGACACTGGAAATGGGCTTCACACATTGTACCCATGTCGGGAATCGAACCCGGGTCCTCGGCGTGACGAGCGAACGATTTAACCACTAGGCTACCCGACCGCCCCACGTTGTATTAAGCTAAGTTAGGAGATCTCGTGTATAGCAAAGCATGCAGTACACTGAAGGCTAGTCATGTTTCTTAGGTAACGACAGCCATGGGACATTTGTAAAGAAACGTTCCAGTTGTGGGTGGTCTATGGAATTCTATTCAAGCTTAATTCTGAACATCAAAGTTAAATGTACATGTTATTAAAAACATTATTGCTTAGTTATAATCGATAAGATCAACAAAGATATAAAAGATCAGTTGATACGAGCTTTAAATATTGATTTAGTCTTTATATTACAACGCATGCGTTGTTATAAATAATTTGCATATTCGTTGAGATACAGGACATGCCGCGCACATGCTTGTTTACCAGTCAGCTAATTGACACATATATGGGAATATTCAAGGATTGTACAGGAAAAGTCTTAAGAAGTGTCAAGTGTTTAAAATTGTATTTAACAGAACAAAATACGCTCGATTCCAATTGACTACAGAGGCAAGCAAACTGGTACCTATTCTGCACTGGAAGCCCCACGAAAAAGCTAACTGGTTTTAGACCATACGTCGACACACCCAACATGTTGATAATTAATTGTCACAGACGAGGAAAACCACATAAGGAACGAGGAATATTATGTTGTATAGGATATTACTGTCAACTGTAACAAGGAAACTTGTTGTCGTAGTCAATAATGCGTCAGTGCTATCCAAATCCAGTTTCTATACATTTCTATTTGCTTGAGAACTATATGCGTCGGTGCAATCCAGAACACGTTTCTATACATTTCTATTTGTTTGAGAATTATATATGTTACAGGTAAAATATGTTCCCATTTTGTTTATAAATCTCGTCAGTTATCCGCAATCAAATACTGATCAATAAATGCGTATGAGGAAATTTAACTCATAACTACATGTATGGTGGAATGAGTGGAAATGCATAATACGCTGACACCAATGTTCAGCAGCAAGATTACAAATGATGTATTTGGTCGAAAACTCATAATGTGAAATATTTTATTTTACCTTTCTAGTTCTGATAGTTTGAGGAACTAAGATTTTCTTTTATGAACAATTCCAAAATTCCATAATTGTGGATGCAAGAACACAAAACTAATACTCGCATCAACAGGGTTTATTGCGTGACGTTTGACAGTTTACAGATTATACTTGGAGCCATGGCTTTAGAACGATTGGTGACGAGTCGGTAACGAGTTGAACAGTTGATGAGGTTCAGAAAACTACAATAAACAACAGCTTTCTGTAAATTCAGAAAATATTTACCAATTTTCCTAGTATTAAACACATTCAAAATTACATCCAAATGAAGCAATAAATATATTGACTACATTGAAATTAGGCATAATTAACAAGCACACATTTGCAAATATGATGTAAAGGTTGTGTGAAATATCTAAACAATTTTGCACTAATTTAATATTTTGGTATATGTACAATTTCAGGGTGTTCAGAAATAAACATAAAACCTAACAATGAAAGGGAAAGGTACTCACATGTGTCTTTACATAGTTCAAATATAGCAGACAGTAAGGTGAGAACCTGGCAGCATGGAGGTCCAATACACACTGGTGAGCATGTGCTTCGAAATGCATGAGCTTTGAAGAGGTCGTGACGTGACATGTGAGCTTTGACATTGCACGTGAAGGTTAAGGTCACGGGGTAGTGGAAAATTACTGAGAACATGAAAACATGGTCAACACGTATCTTAGAATTGATCAATACTACGTGGAAATTAAACTTTAGAACGTTAGTGTAATACCATCGGACCACCATGGATAATAAGTTAAATCAATTGTAATATCTTAACCTGATTTCATGTCATTTCACTAACAGTTCATACTTTGAAACATTAGGAAAACTTGCATCTAAAATAATATTTACCTTTACCATAGTACACTACGATATTGCGGTGTGGCGATATTGCGAAACGATAGAGCGATATTGTGATGACACGACACGACATGTCTGTGACATAACTGAACATGTTATAATAAGATTTCCGCATCTTTTCATGTTCAGGATTTAGCAGTGAATAAGTTTGATAAACGCAAGCATAAATATCGAATACTCAACGAGTTCCCGTGTAATACCAAGCTTATCAAACGAGTGAATAGTTCTGATAAAATTGGCAGTACATAATCACGCGCTTTTTGTTATTAAACGATGGCATATTTAACGGTCGAGTAATAAGCTTATATATTGAATGAGGAAGCCCGAAAGCACCATTTTGCTAGAAGAGGCACAAGTGTAAGGCTACAACAACATAATACAACATGTTTTCCAATGGCAAAACCATCGCCAATTTATACTTATGTTTCAGTTTTCATGTATACCATTATATACTATTATATATTTGTAAAAACGTAAATAAAGAAGATAATAGATAATGATAACATTAAATTCAAACCCAATGTTCTCGATAAGCATTCTGTTTTACAGTCCTCATAATAGTCATGAATGGTAAAATCTATACATACTCATCAAAATATGAAACGTGTAACACATGTGGGAAGTAACACATATTTGTTGCACATCTAAAAGCTTCATGTGTGAAAACATATTGCAAACGGGACAAAAGTGAACACGTGTCCTATATGAAGACATGACACGGAAAATGTCAAGGTAATGAGATCTCAATATCCCCTGGCACCGCCTGATAACGCACTCACGAGGTTGTTGTTACGAGGTGATTTCCAAATTTAAACCCAAAGGTTCAACAAGAAATCTATTCATACAGAACTAAATTGTGAAATAAATAAATGACCACACAAGATCAACGAGTAATAATTATATTTAAAAACAGCTTTACATATACAATCACAAAAGAGCCATAGAAGGACATTGTACATTGTTGTTTCATACGAATATTACTGTTGCACATGTTGCATGGAGTCCAGCATTGTCAGGTTGAAACATAATTAATGTGATGAAAACGTGCGGCTACACAATTTTATCAAAATAGCGTTGTGCCGTTCTGTTGCCTGGCACTGGGTTTGTTCTTCCGGTGTGAAAGAAATCCGCCCCTATTATTACACCGCAAAAGCATATTCTGTTGATCAGCCTTCGTCGGCCGGTACACCCCTTGCTTTCAAACATTCTCAGTTCCTCATAAATAGATAAACCAAACGTCACTTTTCAATATCGTTACTGCAATCCTCCTGCTTCCAATCGTCGGACGAGGTTGTTCCGCTGTGCTTCAGTCAGAAGTGAAATGACGTCACAGTGAAACAGATGCTAACAGTCAACTTTTAGACAACTTTTAGTCAATTTTGGTTCTGTAACTCAATATCACTGTATCGGAACATCGCATCAGTTTGTTACAGTCGCTCTGTTGCGCGATATCGTGTTGATATGTCGGAGCGATATGGCGATGACCTACCTCAGAAAACGTATCTTTTTATAACCTGTTGTAGAAAATGCAGAGAACTACAACAGGAATACCTCTGTGACACATCTTACCATCGACAACATATGTTTTATGTGCACCAACCCTGCCTTTCATAGGCTAGCTTTGATTATACACCAACATGATCTAATGACGTCATAGTTAAACCGACGCTAACAGTCAACATTTTGACATCGTTAGAACACGAAATAAAACATTTTTTACACAAATTCTACATTTAACCCAATATGCATAAAATGAATTTACTTTTCAATAACTCACGACTAGGAACATTGAGAAAACTGTCCAAATTCTGTAAAATCACCATGTCATTGTTTAAATATATCAAGTAACGCTCCCTCTTTCTGAATTGAACATATATTGCTGCCATAGTAAATCTGTATACATATACATGTATGTTTGCTCGGCAAAGATGTTTTTGTATATATCCTATATTTATATGTATATGTATTATGTTGTTGAAATACTTTTGTACCTCTGATTCCGCTGATGGCGGCCTGAGTGTAAATAAAGTTCACTTCAGTTCAGTTCAGTTCAGATAACCCATAACCACCCCACTGCATAACCCTGCACGTGCACTGATCACGTTGTCATGTGGTGTTACTTGTCTCATATGCACGTAACTGCTGTTGCGCTTTGAACGACTCAGACATGTTTATGGTGCAGGTAGTAGTGTCACTTTGTCACAACTTTGGATCATTTTCATTGTATTATTCTCAAGGCATTTGTAGAGGGCAAATCAGCCGCGGTTTGAGTTGGAGATTTGAAAGTCACAACGCAATTATGCAATGTCGCTCCATTGCAATACCGTCATATCGCATTTTGGCAATATATTGTTATATTGTCGTATTGCGTGACCATATCGCATTACACCTTTTTCCGCTTCATCGCCATGTCATGGCGCGTTATGGTCATGGCTTGTCGTTCTATCGTTATGACGTGTTGTACTGTCGCCATATCGTATTGTGCTGTCATAATGTCGTGTCGTTCATTCACCGCATCGTCTCATTCTAGCGCTTTTTCAGTGTGTGTTTTCTCTGTGTCGTTTGTGTCTGTATCGCAATATCACTGTATCGTATCGGAACATCGTATCAGTTCGAGTATTGCTTTGGCGATGGTCTCCCTCAGTGACTGAATGAGTGAGTATGGTTTTACGCCGCTTTTAGCAATATTCCAGAAATGGGCTTCACACATTGTACCCATGTCGGGAATCGAACCCGGGTCCTCGGCGTGACGAGCGAACGCTTTAACCACTAGGCTACCCGACCGCCCCGGTTTCCTTCAGAAAACATTGTATCTTTTTATAACCTGTTGTAGAAAATGCAGAGAACTACAACAGGAATATCTCTGTGATACATCTGATCATCGACGACATATGTTTCATGTGCACCAACCCTGCCTTTCAAAGGCTAATGTTGATTATAAACCAACATGATCTAGCTCGAACTTGGCTGACTGCATCATCATAACATTCACTCACTCACAGTGATTCAATAGCACTTCCTCGTAGTTATCTACGCATTCGTGGATTTGTAAATATTCTTATCTAGTCTATTCTGACAACACAAACGAGACGTATGTAAAACAAGGATGTAAAATAATGTTGTATATAAGAGGCCGTGTAACTGATGTCATACTCACACCCGCTTTGGTCGCCCTGTCACATGTGGATTTGATTTTCCATCCTGCCATCTCGGAAGACATCTGGGATCTTCATCCCTTAGTTTCATGGGAACCAGAAACAGCCGAAGGAGAGGATGATTTACAAGTGTTTCAGTTTGGTTGTTCTTTTGACGGTGCTGCAAAGTGGCAAGGGTAAGTAACTCTGTTGTTTCCCCAGTATCTTCTACAAAACACTGTTGTCACCAAAGTATATCTCTGTTTGGAAATGATCTATTAACTGATATTATTACAAAGAATAAAGATGTATGGTTTAATCGGCTTTTCAATCAAGATCGAATTTCACGCGTAAGGAAAACTATAAATGTCACACGGTTGGGGATTTCAAAAAACATATGTTGGGGATTGTTTTTCAATAGAATGGAGAATTGTCCATGCATAATTTCGAACACAAAATTGAATCCGCATAATTTGTTGGGATCACAATTACTTAATTATTTGTGATTTATATCTGATAACATGATCCAAGTCTTGTTACGATTAGATATTGTATTACCTCGTATGAGGTCAAGACTACATGTACCATTGGTGGAATTAAACACGCAAACCTGCAGTACATCCATTTATGTTCATGAAAACAAAACAACTTTCAAACAGCCATAAATAATATATCGTACGCGGTACAAAAGGTGATCAGGTATTTAGCACAGACTAGATATGTTTAAGATCTATGCACTTTTGAATTTTTTGCATATGTTTCGGAATTGTATTTAGGAGACAAAAATATTTTGTGTTAAAATTCGAAAAACAAATATAACGTTAAGGAAAACATACGAGTAACGAGCATGTTCTCTATCTAAAAACACACATCACCAGTTTCTAAAGCATAAAAGGAATAGTTTATTTTCAAAACGTTCATGCGCTATACAAACTTTTAAATAAAAATATCACTTCAGAGCGCACGTGACACGTGTCGCCGTAAGCGAAGTCTACTATCAAAAGGTCCTCAAATCATACTTTCCTGGTTCGAGTCCTACTGGCGACACATGTTTTCCTACAAATATTGAAATAATTGAATTGAGTGTCAAATTGAAAACCAGTAAAGAATTCCGAAAATCTATGTTTACATTAATGGAGATAGTATAGAACCGAATGATTGTTGAGCGGTCCATTCATGGAAAATATTGGATCTCCTAAACATTACATTGACGTCACAGATGTGTCACCCCATATGTGTCATCACTGATTTTCAATGATCCATTCATATAATTTCAATCACGAGTTTGCCTTCAACGTCCAATGGAATCTGTTTCTGCAGATAATGGAGACTGATTATTCTCTGGCATTGACGTTTTACATTATATCATGTACGGCAAATCATGGGCGAGGACATGTAGCCATGAAAAGACTTGCTAATAGTTGTTGGTGTTTTTCGAAAACATTGGTAAAGTGATTTCATATATTTTGTTACTCCACTCATAATTGCTCATTATATTTAAGAGTTGGACAACGCTTAACTTACAACAACTCACTTTACACGTTCCCTATGGACATTTGGGTTCGGAACTGGTCCACAGTACCACATGCTAGTATAGTTGGGACCGTGTGGTCAGTCTCGGTGACTTTGCCCCGACGACTTGGGACGCTGACAAAGCTATCAACTATTGCTTGCCTGATCCTGATTCGATTATCTATATAGCTAATATAGCTACAGAAATGTTGTTTGTTTGTTTGTTTGTTGTGAAACCCAATTTGGTCACGACGACGTGCACTAAACCAAGTCACCGAACCTGACCACCCGATCCATACAGTCGCCTCCATAGGTTGCTTGACCGGAATACTCTTGACCGGAATCCCAAAGGAAATTTTAAAATACTATAGATGGTAATATAATATAGTTCTCACCATGAAGTGGCTGATTTCCACGGGACACCCACGTGGTAAAACAAAACGCAAACCACAACAATAACTGTGTTCACAAAAGATATACCTATCAATAGTGCAATATCATCACTATTCCTTTCAAAGGAGGGGCGGTTGGGTAGCCTAGTTGTTAAAGCGTTCGCTCGTCACGCCGAGGACCCGGGTTCGATTCCCGACATGGGTACAATGTGTGAAGCCCATTTCTGGTGTCCCCCATCCGTAATATTCCTGGAATATTGCTAAAAGCGGCGTAAAACCATACTCACTCACTCACTCACTCACTCCTTTCAAAAGTGTGCGTGTGCGTCTGTGGTGTGACATAATGACGGTCTGGCCTAGATATTCCTCTGGGGTTTGTCTGGAGCATGTTTGTTTCAAACAACGGGTACCCGGAACTGATATTACACGGATGTATGATGGTCCAGTCGTCTGAAGCTCCATATTTCGTTGTGCAGAGTTGCGCGCCAGATGCTTATGATTGTTAATGATCCCAGATTCGCCCAAGCTGTCTAAGAAATATAATATGTCCAGGCATTATCTGTTGTCTATAAGACGATGCTTTTAAGGCCACGAATTAAATTAGTAAGATTAAGAGGGCGATGCCCAAACATATGTTTTTCGATTTTATTATTGTCTTGTCCTTTATTGATTATATTAAACTTAACATTATACATCCACAGACAGGGTCGTCTAGCTGATAATAATGAATGTAACAACTGTTAGCTATTACGTTTAGTTAACTTACTATTACATATTTTATGTATCAAAACAGATGCAAGATAATAATTTTTACGCAACACCCCAATCCGTCAAAGATTTATCAACTAATTTTTTTCACATGAACAAAACGTAAAGGGACCAAGATACACCCCAAAACGCAAAAGTTAAAAGTGATCAATTACACCTAGTCACTGACAATTTCGAGAGTTCCCCTCGATTACTCCTGAAAATATAGAGATTAAGATTAAAGCGTTTGTGACGTCCTGGGTAACTTAATGTAATACATACAGCCCCGAAGTGTGAACGTAGTCCCCTTGGAAATAACCAGGAACATTGAGTTTGTCTGCATTTGCGACGGACTGGTCGAATGCAGCCAGCAGATCGACGACCGTTGTAATGAAGAGCTACGTTCATGACGGAGTTATTTGAATGGCATTGACCTTGTTGAATGTTACGACACTATTAGGATTCCTTTTGTCCAGAGACAGACATTATTCAGACTGTATCAATTTTGACTCTGCAATAGTCAGGACACAGTTACATGTATTCGAGTTTTGCACGTGGTTCCGCGAAGGGTGTGGTTCACGGATGCAGCACTTCCGTCGTCCTTTGAACTCGCCGCCTACATAATATATGGATGTAATATCGTTTTGAATTGACTTTACAGGTGAAGACTACGTGGTGGCTCTGGCATATAGAGGCAAAGACTCGTACATCAGGTACACAGCCGGAGAAACCGGGGGCCTGATGGAGATACAGTATCCACACTTCGCCAAAAGAACATCCAATGTGTTGGGTCCCTTCCAGGGTACTTGGCACCCTGTAAGCGATAAGATGAAAATCACTAGTGTTGTAGAAAATACAGCTGTCGTTGTAAGCGGAAGTGACGAAAATGTAAACATTGTGGTAGCCGCTGACGGTGTATTCTCTCCTCTTCCTATATCTGCCCTTGGAACCAAGTACATTCTACCTTCCAGTCTTGTACCCAACAGTAGTTATCAATCCTTGCTACTGATAGCTACACACAACATGAGCACCAATGTTGATATATCCTTTCGAATAGAAAAAGGAAGTGTTAACTTTGTCAACTACGTATACGGTGACGGCGATACTCTGCCCCTCAAACTTGATCCATATCAAACGGTAATGATGTCAACCCCACATGATCTGAATGGAACGGTCATTAACAGTGGACACAGTGTGGCCGTCTACAGTGGTATAGACTATGCCTCGAAGTACACTGTGTATGACCAACTACTGCCTGTCAAGCACCACGGGCAGGAGTATGTTGTTGCTGTAGATGACACCAAGCTGGAGCTGCAGATCATCAGTGAACACAGCCACGTGCAGATTACGTTCAGTACCTGGGCCACAGTCTCTACAGGTGAGCGTCGTCTCTATAACCGCTCACTTGAACAGGGAGAAAGTCTTCACTTCACCACCACACGCCCGGTACTGGTGACACTCAGTAGAACAGATGGTTACAGCAGTGTCTTCACAACTGTACCACCTGTACACTCTTACGTCACACACAGGGGTGTCTGGTTTCAAGGTAACAATCTAAATACAACATTAAAGATAATAACTGAGAAGACATCGAGTGTGTTGATTAAAAACAAACAACTCAACGATGTTCTGACATGGACAGATGTACCGGGCAGCAGATACAAAGTTGGCACAGTGACACTTTCTCCACAACAATATACACGTTTTACGTCCATTTCCAGCGACCTCCCCTTCACAGCACTGTCTTTTTATAACGGATCGGTCCATAACATCGGCTATAATGTGTCTGCAGAGGAGGCAGTACATTATACAGGTATGTGACACAGTTACCTTTATGATCATGACATTATGGTCGACAACTTACAATGTTTTGAATACACTGATGTAGGTTTATACCGTGTGGGCTGTGTAGTAATGTGTGTAATATGTTGATGGTCTGTCCAGTTGTCTGAGGCGCCGCTGCGTGGAGTAGATTCCGCCCTATGAGGATTCCTCTTTGTTAATACCAAATCCCTGCATACAGATTTCATACAACTTGTATACTCCTAACATTTGGCTCACGTGCCATGATATTACTAAACTTATTTTATAAAAGGGAAGTTAAAACTCATTTCATTATAAATGATTACACGCCAAACACTATAGTTTTACCTGTTACAAATTACTTTTTGACTTCTGCATTTAGGGAACATATGACTGATATGTCAAGGATAGGCTCTCTCTTACCGTTGCCTATAGATATGCTTTACTTACGTAACGTTGTATAACTCAAAATCCTTTATTCTAACATAGACATCTGTGCCAAAGAAGATACTGGTATTACTTCGTCTAATCATAAGGTTATCAAATGCATAAACATTGACATGCCTCACAGGTGAAAGTTACTTGATGGCAGTGGCGGAATACGATCCCCCCTCTAACAACCACCCCCGGATACTCGCCACTGCTGGGGAGACAGGAGGCCAGTGGCAGGTACAGGATCCTCTCGCCGGGCGTGTCTGGTCTCGACGCTTCAATCCTTACAACACAGACTACTTTTATCCTAATACCACAACAACCAAGGTAGTGCTTGTGCGTGTGAGAGCTGCTGTTCATATCAATGTGAAGCTGACCCCTTACACATCATTCTCTCCCCTTCCTGTGTCCGCACTAGGCACCAAGTACATCATTTCTTCCTGTCTTCCCACTGACAACATATACAGATACACAAGATACAGAGTAGTCTTAGTGATAGCTACACACAGCAAGAAGGCGGATGTTGACATTATCTTCAGATTGGAGGGCAACGTCACCTATAAGGACAGAGCGTACAGCAACGGGGACACCCTCAGTATCAGATTAGATAAGTATCAGACTTTCTCCATAACCAGTTCATCTGATATGACCAGAACCATTGTTAAAGCCACGGAAACAATAGCTGTCTACAGTGGAACATACTATACGACGTCGAAATTCATCTCTACCTACGAGCAGTTACTGCCTGTGAAACATTATGGAAGTGAGTATATTGTCGCTATCAAATATTCTTCTTACTATCGAAGGAAATCGATTACCCTGCCATACCAACTTCAAGTTGTTACTGACCACAGTGACTCGAGCATCATGTTTAATAATGGTTCTTCCGTCTCTGTGGGTAAAGATGGACTGTACCGTGAACAATGTGGACCTTTTGAAACATTTTACTTCAACACCACAAAGCCAACCATGGTCACATTGTGTTCTATTGGGATGCGTTATAAGGTTGTGCCTGGTGGGTTAATTGTTGTACCACCTGTAACCCTCTACTCTAAACAAACAACCCTAAAAGCCCAAGGCACCAGGGCAATATTGACAGATAAAGACAACAACAATTTACACGTTCAAGAAATCCCAAACACTCTCTCTACAGTTTTCACTCCCCCGATAAAGTGGAAGGAAGTTCCAGGTACAAGATACAAAGTGGGAATATTACAAAGTGGTCAACACATAACAGCAATTCGTTCTAATTCTTCCTTTGCTGTCCTTGGATACGATTATGATAATATATACAACGGAGGATACAATTTTAGGACACATCTTGATGCAGGTAGGTCTTTTCATGTACAATTATATGTAAAAATTAAAAGCCTACATTCCTGTGATGCATTAATTTGATTTTAGGTAGGTCCTTCAGTTCTTCACTTGGAGTCTACCGTCTCCTCAAGACACATGTCCATGTACCTATAGATATATGAGGGTAATTCTTTGAAGTAATAATCAACAGAATTCGCATGGTCATTTGAGAACAAAGCCTGTCATAATAGGTCCAATGCCATGTGGGGACTTCAGGTCAGAATAGGTTCCAAGTAGGCTAATGTGTCGATATTCATAATATCAGTCATTAGCTTGTTTGGCTGAGACCAGAAGTAATAATATTCCTGGAATGTTGCTGAGTGCGGCAAACAAAGTGTGTCCCGACTAAACTTGGGTGTGGTATCGAAGATCTGTGACTTTGCTGATTGTTAATGTGTTCCGACGACATAGATCTTTGACTCGGTCACTGGCTACAAGCTGCTGTAGTGTTAAAGGAGTTTACATCAAAATAGTTCACACAAACGCAACTTTGTCAATAATATGTAGCAATCATTGTGCCTAGTATTCGAATGTACCCCACGCCATAAAATACTGAATACTGAAATAATGTGGCTTTACACTAAGCCACCTATCCCTCTGTGGTGTGGGAATATATTTACTGCTGGGTATACTGCAATACTTGTGTCAGTTATCAAGACAATGCATACCCTGATTCGTTCCAGAGACCTCTACACCAGATGGAAATGGAAACAAGTTGACTACAGATGATTCTTTCCAAGGTGAATAATTAATGCTACTCTTTTTCTCGGCCGTCGTTCACCATCTGCCATATTTATCAACATTCTCCTTGCCATCAGATTTCCCAAACATATCTTGATGCATTCATAACAGCGCCCCGTTTCTGAGCAGATCATAAACGTCACCACCTTCACAGCTTTGCAACTTAAACACTGGTATCCGAAAGTCGCAGTGCTACAACTGCTTTGTGAAACTAGACCAAGGAGCGATTGTATAGCTCTGCCCGAGACAATAATAAATCCCAGACTTTTTTTAAGAAGGACAGGTTACAAAAGCAAAGTTGTGAGTTATATTCTTTCTATCTTCTTTTTCCCCATACAGGCTGCATTAATGCGGTTGTTTTGTGACCATGTCTGGAACATGAACACCATAATTTTTATTACACATTCAGGAGTGATAAAAAGAACAATTATATTCTTACAGTGGCAGCAACTTTTATGTTTTATGTGGTGAAGAAAACGACACTTGTGCTGCAAATGACGTCATCATTCAATATGATACGTGCAAAGTGTTTGGAGCAACAACACTTTACTGCAACATGTCTTTATATCTTGACGTATCAAATCTTAAAAAATAATACGGCCTCCATATACAGTTCCTTATATAATCAACCTTTTTCATTTCAGCAGAACCGGACAACGCGGCGCTGATCGTGGGGATAATCTGTGGGATTGTTATTGTGGCTCTCCTGGTCGTCTTTATGGCATATGCGTTCTATACGTAAGTATTTATATGTGTATAGTAAATGACATTTGCTTCTCAAAAATGATGATTCCTAGTTCATGAATATGGTGACAACTTATTACATTCATTGAACTGTGGCAAATCTGGTAAAAATCTATGCAAATGATTGTCGATGCCAATTAAACAATATTTTCCAAACACAATGGAGTGAATGTTGCTGTATATGCAGCCAGTAGCAGCGTTATATGACTGATGCGTGTAAATGAACGACACAGGGTCAGCCAATCTAGTGGTTGAGAGCATGAGCAAAGATACACAATCAAGTCATATATTGTGTCAACCCAATTAGCATTTTGGTCGGCTGTTATGTCAAACAGGGTGTCATTAGGAAGTATACTGCCCCTGAATCAAATCGAGGATGAATAGCAGAACGACACAGGGTCAGCCAATCTAGTGGTAGAGAGCATGAGCAAAGATACACAATCAAGTCATATATTGTATACTGCCCCTGACTCAAATCGAGGATGAATAGCAAATTCAAGATCACTGACACCAATCGCGATAAGAGTGATCTTGTGCTGTCCTATCGGTTACATATAACATAATTGTGGAGTGATCTCAGACAGGAACAGATATGTGTAGTAACATAGCGGTACCAGTCGTAGCCAGTAGGCTTGCTGAAACCCATTAATACTTGTCATGAAAACGGTTATGTCTATGACAATGAAACTAATTCATCCACTTTGTTAAAAATCAAACATCATATCAGTGGCAGTAAAAGCTTTAAACTATTTCTGGTATTTGCCATGTTAAGTATATGATTATCTTGTGGATATATAACCGCCTTGGTTAATAGTCATGGAAAAAAAAATGTTTTCTCAGCCACAGTTTTAGTTATCTGTCTATATCATATTGCTCAGCCTACCCCAACATACACTATTACGAACACCCAATTCATTGAGCATGCTTACTACATGATTAGTTTGGATAAATCGCTCTCCGTATAACGTCTAACACAGTAGCCGAACCCCTTTCCTTTTCAAGCCCTTTTGTCGTTCTGGCCAGCTTAGTTATTCAAGTAAACCGAACACTGGACGCCTCAGAGGGTCTACGTCGCTACATGAGTGCAATAATCTTGGACGCGACGTTAAACCCCATTTCATCTCACCTCACGTATATCATATATTCCGATTACCATTGTAAATCTGAAGGACACGTTTAGATCTTTTGGATCATATTGTTTTCCATCTGCAGTCAGCCTTATATTGATGAAACACAAGAAGAATACACGTCATCAAATTATGATGATAGGCAGGAACTGTACCGATCGTAACATAAGTGTAACATAGGCTCAAAAATGAAAGCAAATGCCATCTAAAGAAAAAACAATATGTGAAATGTTGGACTTCCTCATTGATACCATCTATGTAACATTTGGGATTAAGATATTCAGGCAAGAAGTAGGCATCCCCAAGGGTCACCAGTTGTGCTTTCCTCCTTGCTGATCTGTTTCTTTTTGCATGTTTCTTTATTTCCGCTCGGATTGGCAAAGTCAAAACAACGTAGTTTGGTCAAGAAGTTTAACTTAAGCTTCAGGTATATCGATGATCTTATATCGTTCAATAACCATCAAATAGACAATTCCCTTCCGCTGATTTACTTACCCACCTGAACTATAAAAAAAGTGTGTCAGGTAAGATACGTTCGCCTTTTCGCGAACAACTGGTTTCATCACTATTTGACAGTGATTCATAAACGCGTTCGGAATCGCTTTTGGGAGATTTCTGATGAATTTTGAAAGGGTGTTGTCGCATTTATTTATGATAGGGTAGCACTAAGATTGCTTCGTGGGACGGGTCCTGGTCCCAATTTTAGTCGGACTTTACGGCCAACATCCTGCCCTACACTGACCCAGAATCCCAACAGAGTTTCTTACAGAGAACATCTTCTTGGTTTGTCAGCACCATGCACATGCCCATGGATTTCGCCCTTGTGGAAAACGTCTACATGTATAACATTGGGGGCGTTGGATTAGACTAGTGGTTAAAGCATTCGCTCGTCACGCCGAAGACCCCACACTATGATGGGTGCGGTGACTGAAGCCCATTTCTGGTGATCCCCTCAGTGATATTTCTGGAATATTGTAAAACGCGGCGTAACACTATACTCACCCACTCATAACGTTTGGTATTGTTAAAATAGTACGATTGTTTTGTTTGTTGCTCAGCAATATTGCAGATATAAAAAGGCTGTAACACATTAAGATGTGATGACGTAGATCTTATGTTGCGACCTTGAATACCAACTGTTCAGATGAATATACTTTAAGGTGGATTAACCACGGTAGTTTTCTATGTTTCTCTCTATATTTTTGTAGCCGCAGGAAGATGATGCCAGTTAAGAGAGTTGCAGAACAAGATGCCGATGCTCCCCCGACCTCCAACATCTACACGGTGCTTGACAGTGTCGCTGAAGGTGCAGCAGATGAGGCCACCTACACGGGGCTAACAACTAACTGCACACCTGTCGACGTCAGCATCGTCGACAGTGCTGCCACATATGTTAATTTCGACTGCGGAAAATAACTCGAAAGTTAACACAAATGCATCGAAGTGTTATGGAAACACATTCTGAGACATTACCATGTCTTAGTGTAAAAACGTATATTCTCTGCACACATTAACTAAACCTTCATGTTATACTTTATTATCTATGTACAAATGTTATATTTTCCAAAGAATATATCTAACGTTGTCATATGTGAATATTCAGAGGTTATGAAGAAATAGTATATGTCTCAGAATACACACAGATATTTGATTGTATTACATTACATTTCAAAAGGTAACTACTGTCGTATGTACATGTAGGTGGTGAATTTAATTCTACTTGAGCAAAGAATAATGCATCAACCAGGACATGACTCACGTACATGGATGCAACAACTGAAATTTATGAAACACAGAATGAAACATGGCAACATGTTCTTTGTCTTCTGAAACAATCTCTTGTCGAGCCATTTAACTAATATTCTTTGAGAACGGTCAGATAAGGGTGTATTAATTGAACGGGTTCCAGACCCCATTTGGTTTTAAGTAAAATAGGATCATTCACAATACCGCTACAACATGTTGATTGTGGAAATGGTCTTATCACTTTTATTTACCGGTTGATTAAACCAAAGGCTGCTTTCACTGACAGTAATTAACCAAATTTCTTGTGGTGAAACGAGTAACGCTGACCTCTGATCATTGGAAAAGGAAGAAGGAATTGAAACAACATTTTTAAGCCTTATTTTAGTTTTCAGTGTACCATTTCACTCACTGGGCTGCAATTGTGAATTAGGTGATCGATTTGCCAGTGTCACATGTGGGAGAATAAGGGCAAACCCACAGCAGAGATCTTATAACTTTTCATTTTTGGTTAAGCAACTTTTTATTTTATTCGTAAGGTTGTTTTTGCTATTATTTTATTCTTGTTGTTTATTGGGTTGTTTAGTATTCAATTACTTGATTACATACATGTCCATGCCACGCCGTGATATAACTGGAATACTGTTAAAAGCGGCGTTAAACCCAACTCACTCACTCATTCACATGTACATACAGCTTAAGCACTTTCAATTGTTTCTTCATTTTGGAACTAGAAACCTGGATGCTTTTGACAGAGGGTTTGGTTTAAGGTTGGTAACACGTGTACCCATAAAGTGAAGTAGCAGTTCCTATGAAGATATCATTCAGTTAAGTTTCAAATGAATGTTTAATGTGCTGAGCATATGTTCATTGTAACACAATGACTTAACATTGATATTCATTACATATGGTTTTATATATATTTTCAGCTTGTACTTGTGAATAGTTATTATGAGGTTATGTAAAACGTTCAACATAAGACTTTTCAGCATGCGACAAACCATCTTGATTACAAAACAGTTACATGTGGCAGCAGGTGAGGAAGTCTTCATGAAACTGGTCCCATTTGTTTTTGTATATATTGCATTATTGCGCGGCTCCTTCACGATAAGGCTATGTGGTGCATAAAGCACATCTCTTTAAAAACCAATTTCAATTTGTTGTGGTGAGTATCCCTGACATCCATTTCAAGGAAAAGCTCCGCACTGGGGTTAAATCGATGTTATTATAAAGTTAAGTTAAATTGCAGTTTAGATGTTGTATGTTCAACAATCTATACCCATCTGTGTTACTATATTAATATAGTATACACAGAACAGAACAACGCGACAACAGTCTCAAGCTAGTTTTTACTTTTTCAGTTTTCTTCATTTGGTCACAAGAGTTAGTCAGGTTTTTTTTAACAGTGATTCAATTATGTCACAGTAACCTAATGTGAGAAGATAGCCTTGCGTGATCGTTGAAGATGTTAGGTCGACTTTTTTGTGCAGCAACCTTTTCTTGTGTTTGACCATGCTTCTTATGATTTCATTGTTTATTGTTTACTGACACGATTCAACATTTAAACTACATTCTAATAATTTACTCTTGTAATATATATAGCTTTGTCATTTATTCATATATGCATATCTTTTAATCTGATATACTGGTATCTCTTTCATTTGCGTGAGGCTGTTTCTAAATTTTAAGACCACTTTAAACATTTTTAAATAATCTTGAGGCTTTTTTAAGATGATTTTGTTTAGATCTGATGTTTTCACATGAAATAAATTTCAGTAAAGTATTTCATGAAGCTTTGAAAAGTAATGTTTCGTTTGGAGATTTCTGAATATTGATTGTGATTCCAATTTTAACCTGCTAGAACCATACATGTTTCTTATATGTTTTATTTTCTTAGAATAAGCTTATTTCCATCCTTCAATAAACTTCTTTGCAAAGTTATAAAGCGACGTTCATCATTTGTAACAACTGCGGGGTACTGCAGACTCCTTACTTGTCTTGACTTGTACCATCATATATGCCTGTGTTTGTTCAGGTGAAAAATTGATTTCCCTTTGCATGTGTTTATGACAAGTGCCACCGGTGGGTCCTGGCATCATCACCATTTGATATCAGGACCAAAAACTATACACGTTTCAGATAAAAACGACACAACTATTTCCATAGTCATAAGCAGGTGTTCGCGAAAAGTTAAATGCAAAGACCTGTCAATTGATCACCTGATAGAAACAAGGGAACGTATGATACAAGTCAAAATAGGGAATTGCTTTGAACATTATTTTTGAGGCATCCACAAAAAAGACAGGCGAACGCCAACGGATATGTAATTCGGCTCAGACGAAACGTGGTAGCTATGTGCAGTGTGTGAAAAGGAAAGCTTTCAAATCTCAAAAAGCACTGTCAATGAAAACATCCGGTCCAGTTGTACATCAACCAGAAAGGATTGCAGTAGACATTACAAGCCCGCTGCCAGATACAGAAAGTAGGTAACCGTTTTATTGTGGTGGTTATGGACTATTTTACAAAGCATGTGGAATGCTATCCTACACCAGATCAGAGAGCACACACTGTCCAAAAACATCTTGTGTACGGTTTTGCTAGTTGGTATGGAGTTAAAAAAAAATCTGCATTCTAACCAAGGGAGAAACTTTGAATCACTAGTATTCAAATCTATGTGTGGGGAACTTGGTATCACAAAAAACGTACTAGTCCATATCACCCGAACTCTCAAGGAATGGGGGAGCCCTTTATGAGCACTATTGGAGATATGTTGAGCAAGTATATTGCTAAAAATTACTGTGACTGAGATGAACATCTGTCTCTGGTGACAAAGGCTTATAACTTCAGTGTACACAGTTCTTCCAATAGTACTCCAAACTACCATGTGCTTGGAAGAGTAATTAATCTACCAATAGATATCATGTATGGACCAACAGGGGAACAGACAAATATGGAAGAAAAGGGGAAATTTGTGGACGAAATGGAGTCACGGATTACCAAGGCTGATGAAATAGTGAAGGAAGATCATCCCAGCATCATTGGTATTATGATAGCAAAGTTGATGCTAAACCATTTCAAGCGGGGGATTTTTTAAATACTTTTTTTGTTCTACTGTACCAACAGGAGAATGCCATAAATTGTTTCTGCATTTGGATGGACCCTATTAAATACTTTCAAGTGAGTGATGGTTATGGTTTTACACCAGAAATAGGCTTCACACATTGTATCCATGTCGGGAATCGAAACCGGGTCTTCAGCGTGACGAGCAAACGCTTTAACCAGTAGGCTACCCGACCACCCCCAAATACTTTCAAACCTTTTTGTTGTGAACTATAGAATTTTAACCATAAGAAGATTGTAGTCCATAGTAATAGACTCAAATTGAGCAATAATGTGCAACCCTGTGCCTCAGACACTCCTCAACAAATTAAAGACGAGAATTGTTCATTCAAGTGAAAAACAGTACCGGGTAGTAATGGATTTTGTCTTTCTCAACGGTGAAATGAGTAACATTCCTTTACAGAAATTGACTTCTCTGTGCCTGTGTTACCCAGCAGTCTTCTATTAGAGGAAGGGAGAAGAATGAGACGGCCCCCGCCGTGACTGTTCAGTGAACAGTGAACCATGAACTATGAACTGTGAATATGTAATGTCTGTAACATGTATACGTCACAGGCGTACGGCATATTGTGGCTGAAGGACTGTGTCCAATGAACAGTGATCCACTATGACTCTATGATGTCAGTGTCTCGTTGTTTTTGTGATTATTTCTTTGCATCTTTTATTAAATGCTTTATGAACTGCGATTTTACTGAATGTGAACTCTTTACTGTTACATTAATCTCGTTCATTATTGTTGTCAGACAATGCGTAAAGCACCTATCGTGTGTATGTATATATACATACTTAAGTACTTATTCTTTTGTGAGCTCATTTTGACTATCTCCATTCATGTAGATTACTCAAGACGAATTAATCTTTGACACTAGAGCTGTTGTAGCTGGCGTGGGCAATGTTTCAAAGGGGTGTTTGTGTGTGTGTGTGTGCTGGGGGGGGGGGGGGGGGGATGTTAAGCGTTAGGTCTTAAATATATAAAGAGATCTCGCGAGACTCCATTCAAGATAACGGCGCCCAGCGAGTGATCGCGTTAGATGTCGCCAGTATAACTTGTAACTGGTAAGTAATGTTCAATGTGATAGTATATATGACGTAAGGTAGGTAAGTTGCTGTGTTTGGTGGGGTGCGGTGGGGTGGGGTGATTGAGGGGCGGTTAAACGTTAGTCTGGTTGACAGTGCTGATGTGTGCACACATGTTATCGAATATACAACCGAATAAACAACCTTGACTCAAGACATTGTTGTGTTATCACTGGGCCGTATTACGATCTAACAAAGTTGGCAACGCGGAAGTATCAGTTACAAAATAAAGTAGGTCATTCCGCCTTGACGTGACAGTCCCTGGTGTGTTGTTTGTTTGACATGCCCTTTCTGCTTGAGAAATCAGGACTACCCTTAATCTTCTTCAAGGTGTACACCTACATGTAGGAGACCGCCTCCGTGGTCTTGTGGTAGAGCGTCCGCCCGGAGAGCGGAAGGTCCAGGGTTCGATCCCGGGCCGCGTCATACAAAAAGACGTTAAAAGATTGTACTTGTTGTTACCCTGTCTGGCGCTCGGCATTAAGGGGCTAAAACAAGGACTGGTCGGCTCGGAGTCAGTATACTGTGTCTGAGTGGGGTATTCATGTTAAACTGCGGCATGGTATCTCAGTGAGCTAGCACTATAAATCGGCATCAGTCCGGACTAGTACAAGCAGCCACACACACACATACACGTGCATGCACGTCGCTATATAAGTGCAATAATCTTGGACGCGACGTTAAACTCAATTTCACCTCACCTACATGTAGGAATCTACGTTTGACACATTCACAGTCACACGTTGAACATTGGAGTTCAAAAAAGTGTTTCAGATGAAAGAACGTTTATGATATAGCCTTCATACAATCATATGTACTTAACATAATTTAGTATCATAAGCAGCATATAGATGTCATATTTTTTAATTATCCTGACAGACAATATGCACTTATGGTATGGTGATATAAAGTCAAACCAATTGGGCGACAACAACAGAAGCCATGTTTGGCTTATTCATCGCACCTGCCGGTTCATTGAACAAATATTTGGGAAGCAAATTATATTTGATCTTTTTCTTGTTATAAAATGGCACAAACTATGTATTTTTACCGAAAAAAGACAAAAAAAAGTATTCGAATACTTAAAATTGAGGTATAGATCCATATCTGACACAAAAACAAGTATTGTTGATAAATAGTGTTCTTTCATTACATACATCTAAGAACAAAGAACTAAAGTTTTAAATACACTGGTCATGGTTCTAGTGATTTTAGTGGGTACTACTTATATTTAAATGGCTAAAAGAAGAAAAAAACATTCGTTCTTAGATGGTTTATTAATTAATCGTAAGTGTGAATTGCACTGTGGGCCTCATGACATTCGTACGAATATAGTGCCTGTCTGTTTGCTATGAATATACATTAATATAAAGGGAATGAAATGAACCTTTAGCTCACCAACTTCTACTACTCTACAGTGTGATTGTAGTGAACGTGAATTTTGGGCCACAAACATGTGCTCACTAACTTGATAGGGCTACAGTTAAAATTACCTAATCTGTAATCTAAGGTATCAGTCTCACTTAAAATGTGCAGCAAGTGTAAGTGTATTTTAGATTATCAACCAAAGAGCATTAAATGCTACGGCTGATTGATATAAACTAGTTATTAGGACAACAATGACGCTGTGCCCAAATCTGATACCTATACTGCCCCGAAGCCCCACGGAAAAACGTCGAAAATAATCATTGCTTCGTTATAATTAATTGTTAACAATGAATTATGAATCCACGTTTTGTGTCTTATGTAAGATATTTGTATGGAACCTATTTTGATAAGAGGGAAAAGAAGTTGATCGAGGTTGTATATAAAAAGGATTTTGACGCCTTCTTTTGTATTCATGTACAACACGTCTGTTAAAATAATATGTATATTCGTCTATATACAGGAGTTCTCTTTTACGATTCGTTGTCTGAAGTGACAAGATCAAAGTGGGAGCTTGCGGTAAGTACATTTATTTTGTCCAAGAAGATAGCTTCAAAAAGCACTATGTACTATGGGGAGCAGCGTAAAATAAATTCTCAAAAGTTTGCGGCCTGTTTTTCTTTCAAACTCTTTCTCTTGCATGTTTTATTTCCCGAAAGATGAGAATACTAGTACTTCTCCTGCCTTTTGATTTCAAATAAGTTAGATCAACAGTTACACATGTAGCTGTATGCTGTCTAGCATTGTCGTGCTGAAGGATAACTTGGTGGAAACAACATGCGGCTGAAGTGTTTCATCACAATAGCGTTTGGTCGTTCAGTTGCCTGGCACTAGGTATATTCTACCAGTGAGAGAGAAATTCGCCTACATTATTTTGCTGCCAAAGCCAAATCTGTCGATCTGCAGATGTTGGTGCATCCTGGCTTACCCATATTCTTAGTACGGCATAAATCACTTAACCAAACGTCGCTGAACAATGTTTCATCGCTGTTTGGGGCAGATACTGCTTGCGGCTCAGTTGACGTCAAAACAACACCTTTGTCTGACAGGCCGTCGAGCTCTGCGTTACGAAGGCGTTTCGACGCTGTCTGGTCAGATATCTTTCGCAATTTGAGAATTGCAAATAACGTAGCCGTATGAAGCGGACCTTGGAAGCCATTGTAACACGGGGACGGCTCGACCTGGGTCAGTTAATTGACGTGCCATGCTTTTCGAATCGATACTAGAGGAATTGTTTGTGTCTTCGCACACATTTCAATATCCTGGCTACAACTGACTGCAAGTCTTCTGTTTCCAATCGACCTACGAGGTTGTTCCGTTGAGCATCAGTGAGACGTCACAGGTAAAACAGATGCTACCAGTCAAAACCACCCCACCATGAACGCGCATTGATCCTATTGTAATGTGGTGTTACCATTCTTGTTGTTGCGCTTTGAACGATTCGAACAATGAAAATTTAATTATTAACTATGTATGTGAAGACAGCAAGGTATGAAATATATCATGTATATTTTTATGGTTCGGGTAATGATGTCGCTCTGCCACTACTTTGGGTCATTTCCATAATATTATGTTCCTTGCATTTGCAATTGGCCAGTCAGCCTCAGTTTCAGTTAAAAGTGTTGTCATGTCCTCACATGGTCATACCGCAATTACACAATATCGGTCTGTTGTCATACCATCATATTGTCATATGAAATTATTACTCTATTGCCGTGCTGTTCTTTTGCCATATCATCGTATCGCGTGACCATATCGCTTTATGGATCTTTTGCTTCATCGTGATAGCATGTCATGTTATCACCATAACATGTCGTTCTATCCCTATGTCGTGTCACGCTATCAACTTGTCGTGTCGTACTATCGCTGCTGTCACACTTCTACGATTCGATTCCTGATCTGGCTTGAACGTTGTTGACTGCGTCGTCAAAGTACTCACTCGCAGGGATGAAATAGAACTTCCTTGTAGCCATCTGACACACATGGACTTTGAAACATTCTTTCTGATATATTCTCACTAACAAAACAAGGATGTAACACCTTGGTGTACATGTATATGTAGGCCTTATCAGTGACGGGATGTTCTCTCCCTCAGATGCGGAATGATTTTCCCACCAGCCATCTCTGTAGACATTTAGGATCTTCATCCTTTGTTTTGATAGGAACCAGGAACAGACTATGGAGAGGATGATTTACAAGCGCTTCAGTTTGGTGGTTCTTTTGACGGTCCTGCAGAGTGGCATGGGTAAGTATCTCTGTTGTGCTTTATTACCCCAGTATCTGCAATATAAAAACATGTATCATCCATTTGATACGGATCCTTTACCAGAGTAAATTTCTTTTTGGAATTTATACATTAACTGTATTATTACAAAGAATGACATGCCCTTTAAGTCAGCTTTTCACTCAGCTTTGGATTTCACACTGTAGGGGATGTCAAGTGAGTGAGTATGGTTTTGCGCTGCTTTTAGCAATATTCCAGCAATATCACGATGGGGGACACCAGAAATAGGCTCCATACATTATACCCATATCGGGAATCGAACCCGGGTCTTTGGCATGACGAGCGAACGCTTTAACCACCCAGCTACCAGACCGCCTCAGGGGATGTCAAGAAACATACGTTGGAGTTACTGTTATTCAATAAAATGGAGATGACCAGATAATTGTCAATGTAGTATTTTAAACACATAACACAATGACTGATTATTTGTGATTAGTATTTGATATACATATTTTGAATCGTAACAAGTTTGCTCTCTATCTTGAAACACATTAGAAGTTTCTAAAAGCCGGATTTAACACCATTGAAACAAACGCAAATATAATAGGAAATGTATGCTGTGACCGGCTTTATGTGGTGTTTTCCGATATGAATTCACTTTGGGCGTTTATTTGATATGGAGCTTCAACTTTGAGACATATGATCACCGTGTATTGTTGTATGCACAAGCACCATTGTCCTGAATGCTCTGACCGGACTTTTAGACATTTCCAAGGTACGAAATAATACCCAAGTAAATACTTGATCATAAAGTATTCGAATGCATACCTTTTAATTGTAATAGGTACTGAGCTTTCCTAGTCCTTTATAAGTGTACTAGGTTTTGAAATATGAACGTTTCCTTAGGTGGGAAAACATTTGTAAATATATAATTTTCAAATCTTTTCACGCCTTAGAAAGTTATGTATCATTCCGGATATCGAGGGTTTGCATTTGAATAGTTAATGCTCATATTATCGGTACTAAAATAAGATGATGATACGTTTCCAACATTTTAAATATTGGGTTAACTATAATTTCACTTATGCTGAAACCTTTGCCAACAAGGTTCATATGCCCCCATTAACCTTTCTGTGAAGGTTCTGGTTAAATAAAACACTATAATGCAAGCTGAGACGCGAGCACCTCGCATATACAAATATACATGCACGTGCACATGCTCGCACACGCGTCTTAGTAAAGCGATATGGTAGCCTTGACACATTCCATAAAATCACGTTCTTATCAAATATCATAAAGACATGTTGATCAGTTTGCATACATATTTAACAATGTTGGGGGAAGCGAATATGATTTAGGTGTGTGCCATTTCACCAATGAAGAGAACAATCTGCAAAATAACGGGACGGTTAAATGTGAGCCATAATTCTTGGAAACAATAGACGAGAATAGCTAGACGATTGTTGATGCGGCGTTAAACAACAATGACTCAAAAGAAAGAGATATGTTTAATTTTGTAACATCCTAAACAATACAAATAAAAACCATGTTATAATAATAATATTCTGTTTTTTGCAGTTTATCTAATATACTACACACAGGAATAAGAGACATGTAATATGATATGATGTATGTGGGGTTTTCTTATTTGTACCAAATATATTTTATTGTCCAAGAAAAGAAAGGGATGGGGCACAAGTGCCATACTTATTGCCACTTCCACGCTATATACAATTAAGGGGGCACGGGTGGCCCAGTCGTCTAAGGCGCCGCGATTCGCTGTGCAGAGTTGCGTCCCTTGGGCACGCCAGAAACCTATGATTGTGGGTTCGAATCCCGGTTCGCCCCAATTATGTGTCTAGGTTTGTCAGAACCATACCCGTGCTCGTGGTTTTCACCGAAGTGGTAAACGTCTGAGACCTGCATCACTTCGGGCTTTCCTCCCACATTAAGCTGACACGCCGTGATAAAACTGGAATACTGTTAAAAGCGGCGTTAAACCCAACTCACTCACTCACTATATACAATTAAACACAATATCTCACATCGGAAATGAACACTTGAAGTCATTGTGGACAGAAATCGTTTGTCTCTTTTCCTCATTTGCTTGTAAATATTGTGTTGGAATAAGGATGAATATTTTCCACTGTCTGGGAAATGTCGCCTGAAGATACTTGGATACCGAAATAGCATATATTGAGTACATGAGGGGACTGCTACGTCATGCATTTCAAGAACTAATATCCTGAGAACTAAATCTAACAATATAGCTTATCTCATTGACAAACAATCTTTGCACTCTGATCATGTAGCCATTGAAGCTGGGGTCCAAGGCAGTGTATTGTGTAGTAATTCAATACTGTGAGTTCAGATTGTTTCATAACCTGAGCCTTATCACCATCTCATTTGTAATCCAATATGATCGCTGTTTTTAAGTAGTAGTTAGCACCTCCTCTCCCCAAAAATCACATACAAACGTCGATCAAATGGATAGCGCATATTTGTGTGCTTAAATCAATTGGACATTGTTTAGCTTCATAAACTGTTCATAAGAAACATGTCAGACAGCTTTGACATCATTGATGACTTAGTCTTATGAGATGATGTAAACATTAGGGGAAATGAGCTCAAGTAAATACAGAAGCAGAGGGTCTAAAATTGCCACAGTGTTAGGCCCGAAAGTCTATTTAGGATTTAAATTGTGATTAAGGAAGTAGAGGGTAGAGAGAGAACAAGATAACAAATCTTAACAAAACCTACCTGCGAATCAGGTGCTAGTTGGTTAGTATCCGTAAGCCTAACAACTGCATGATTCCCAATTAGATTAGAAAGTCACAAACTGTGATGAACGCAGCGCGTGTTCTATGAAGGAAATACAGCCCCTCAGATCTTTGTTTACTGAATACACCTTGACTAATGTTCAGTGATATAACTTATTAAGATATTGAAGCTACATGGCCGCCCATACTTTCGAGGAAATGTCCTGGCTACACTTCATGGTTGCGAGCTCAACAAATATGTATGAATGTATATGATGACTCATCTTGATGTACTTTAACAATGCAAAGAAGATGTACAGATGCCTCCACAACATTTTTCACACATGAATGAGTTCAACCTTAGCAGTCAACTAGTACAGGTAAACATGGCTATTAATGCTCATGTGTGTCAGGTTGCCCTAACCTCGCCGTCACATCTGTACACAAAACAAGTGCATAGTCTAAACTAGGGTACATATGCATTTCTTTAGCCGTTTCAATAATGCAGTGTGCTGTCACAAGCATTCTGTGTAGGTCTGTACAGCACAATGTATTTTATTAGTAAATGGTCGATCCTTCATAAATCATATTTTTGCCATTCATTTCACACATGCCTCGGTAGAATTGAGGTAGGGGAAGGACTTCTGGTCAATTAACAAGGTATTCAGATATCCAGAAACTCGTTTATCTGGACAACATTTTATAAAAGGCAATTGTCCGGATAAGCGATGTTCGACTGTACAGCGTGTGATACATGACAAAACAGATGTGTTAGGGCCTGATTCGCACTTGCTAAGGGGATACCAGTGGACCCTAATCCAAATAAATTGGTTGCTTATATATATGTATCCACGTCACACACACACCAAGAATAAGTACACCTATTTGAATATTACTAATATTACATAAATGTCACTGAGCAGTCAGTGCGAGTCTATATCTTTGCGCTTAATCAGCAACAATAAGCCTTTCACGTATATTACAACTTTGTAAGTTAACTTTCCTTTCAAGACCTTTTAGAAAAAGCAATTGTCCGGATAAGCGAGATTAGACTGTATACCGCGTGATACATGACAAAACAGATGTGTTAGGACCTGATTCGCACTTGCTGAAGGGATACCAGTGGACCCTAATCCAAATAAATTGGTTGCTTATATATATATATGCATCCACGTCACACACACCAAGAATAAGTACACCTATTTGAATATTACTAATATTACATGAATGTTTCTGAGCAGTCAGTGAGAGTTTATATCTTTGCGCTTAATCAGCAACACATAGCAACTGGAGTTATGTCCGATGAAATTCTCTGTTTTGACTTGTGCCATACGTTTCCGTGTTTTTCGTGTTTAACAACTAACTTGCCTTTGCATGTGTTTGTTCCACCGGTTGTGCAGGATACTCTCACCTTTTTGCAAACACCTGTTATCCTCACTGTTTGATAGTAGTTTATACACGTAAGTAAGTATAAGTTGTATGTCATCTTAATATATCACTTGTGTAATCCCTATTTTGGGGGTGTACTACAAACATAAATCAAAGTTTCTTTTGAGCTAGCATGAATATCTTAAAATACTTAGCAAATCTATGCTTATCATCTACTCCTACCAAAGGCTCTAATTGTGGCTAATTGTTAAATAATCTTTACGAATACTGTAAATCATGAATCTAATTATTGGACAGAGACAAGAGATCTATTTTAAAAATATTTACGTCATGCGGGCTTCTCAAGTTTGAAAGGATAAAGGAAGAAACATTTCATTTTGTTCCGAGGTAGTTTATAAATTAATTGTAACTGTGAATTGTACGGTAGGCTTGACCGCCTTTCTACGGATAAAATACATGTCTGGCTGATATGAATATGCATCAATATAAAAGGAATTACATCAAACTTTAGCAAACTAACACTTCTCTGCAATGTGATTGTCGTCGTCTATGGGAATTTCTGGTGAACGACCTGTGCTCACTTAATATACGGATATAGTTAAAATTGCAATCGGGATCTACCAATGGTGCTGTGCTATGTTCAAATTTTGGTGTGTATGTGCGCGCGTGTATGTGTGTTTGTGCGTGTGAGTTTACAAGAACCTTGTAGGTTTAAAAAAGGAATACGAGATTGAATAACTCTAAAAAAACACTGGGATATAATAATGATCTGTTGAGTTCATGCTGTGATACAAATCATCTGTGACAACTTACATAAACACCGATAGCACAGATGCTGACATGGAATACTCTTCCTATATTTGGCTAAAATGT